TACGGTGTCGTGAAACTGCCACGCCTGCTAGGCTTTGCGACAGTGTCGTGGATAGCGGCCGAGCTCAGGGACCACCCCCTGCGCACCCCCTGGTGTCGAGAAAGTGCCACGCCTGCTAGGCTTTGCGCCAGTGTCGTGGATAGCGGGCGAGCTCAGGGACCACCCCCTGCGCACCCCCTCTGGTGTCGAGAAAGTGCCACGCCTGCTAGGCTTTGCGACAGTGTCGTGGATAGCGGCCGCGCTCAGGACCACCCCCTGCGCACCCCCTTGTCGAGAAATGCCACGCCTGCGCGCAGTGTCGTGGATAGCTCAGGGACCACCCCCTGCGCACCCCCTACGGTGTCGTGAAACTGCCACGCCTGCTAGGCTTTGCGACAGTGTCGTGGATAGCGGGCGAGCTCAGGGACCACCCCCTGCGCACCCCCTACGGTGTCGTGAAACTGCCACGCCTGCTAGGCTTTGCGACAGTGTCGTGGATAGCGGGCGCTCAGGGACCACCCCCTGCGCACCCCCTCTGGTGTCGAGAAAGTGCCACGCCTGCTAGGCTTTGCGACAGTGTCGTGGATAGGGCGAGCTCAGGGACCACCCCCTGCGCACCCCCTGTGGTGTCGTGAAACTGCCACGCCTGCTAGGCTTTGCGACAGTGTCGTGGATAGCGGGCGAGCTCAGGGACCACCCCCTGCGCACCCCCTCTGGTGTCGAGAAAGTGCCACGCCTGCTAGGCTTTGCGCCAGTGTCGTGGATAGCGGGCGAGCTCAGGGACCACCCCCTGCGCACCCCCTCTGGTGTCGAGAAAGTGCCACGCCTGCTAGGCTTGACAGTGTCGTGGATAGCGGGCGAGCTCAGGACCACCCCCTGCGCACCCCCTCTGGTGTCGAGAAAGTGCCACGCCTGCTAGGCTTTGCGACAGTGTCGTGGATAGCGGCCGCGCTCAGGGACCACCCCCTGCGCACCCCCTCGGTGTCGAGAAAGTGCCACGCCTGCTAAGCTTTGCGACAGTGTCGTGGATAGCGGCCGCGCTCAGGGACCACCCCCTGCGCACCCCCTACGGTGTCGTGAAACTGCCACGCCTGCTAGGCTTTGCGACAGTGTCGTGGATAGCGGCCGCGCTCAGGGACCACCCCCTGCGCACCCCCTCTGGTGTCGAGAAAGTGCCACGCCTGCTAGGCTTTGCGACAGTGTCGTGGATAGCGGCCGCGCTCAGGGACCACCCCCTGCGCACCCCCTACGGTGTCGTGAAACTGCCACGCCTGCTAGGCTTTGCGACAGTGTCGTGGATAGCGGGCGAGCTCAGGGACCACCCCTGCGCACCCCCTACGGTGTCGTGAAACTGCCACGCCTGCTAGGCTTTGCGACAGTGTCGTGGATAGCGGGCGAGCTCAGGGACCACCCCCTGCGCACCCCCTACGGTGTCGTGAAACTGCCACGCCTGCTAGGCTTTGCGACAGTGTCGTGGATAGCGGGCGAGCTCAGGGACCACCCCCTGCGCACCCCCTACGGTGTCGTGAAACTGCCACGCCTGCTAGGCTTTGCGACAGTGTCGTGGATAGCGGCCGCGCTCAGGGACCACCCCCCGCGCACCCCCTCTGGTGTCGAGAAAGTGCCACGCCTGATAGGCTTTGCGACAGTGTCGTGGATAGCGGCCGCGCTCAGGGACCACCGCTCCCCCCCTGTGGTGTCGAGGAAATGCCATGCGTGCCACGCCTGTGCCGCGCGTGTGCTGTGCTGTGCTGTGTTGTGTGCTGTGCTGTGCTGTGCTGTGTGCTGTGTGCTGTGTGCTGTGCTGTGCTGTGCTGTGCTGTGCTGTGCTGTGCTGCGGTGAGCTGTGCTGTGCTGCGCTGTGCTGTGCTGTGCTGAGCTGAGCTGGGCTGAGCTGAGCTGAGCTGTGCTAAGGTGTGCCGTGCTGAGCTGAGCTGAGCTGAGCTGTGCTGAGCAGTGCTGTGAGGAGGAGGGGAGGTGTGAGCTGAGACGCGGGTGCGACGCGGCAGGGAAGAAAACCAGAACCCCACTAAGCATGTGGGGAACAACAACAACAACAACAGCAGCAGCAACAACAACAACAGCAACAACAAAACGGGCTCGCGCGCGTGCGTGTCGAAATATTTCGAAAGCCATTCCGCGCGTGCCGTAGCGAGAATCCTCTGCAAGAAGAGGGACGATGTGCAGACGCGAGCGTCGTCGCGCGCGCATGCCGAAATCCTTCAAAAACCGTCGGTTCATGAAGGGTGTCAAAATCGTGTCCGGAAAACAACAAAAACACAAGGTTTCGCAACACGGATGTTCACCAAAAGAGCGCGCGTGCGCTCTTGCGTCGTCGTCGTCGTCGCCGTCCTCCCTCCTCCCTCGTCGTCGTCGTCGCCGTCGTCCTCTGTCTTTCCTCGTCGTCGTTGTCGCCTTGGCGTCGTCGTCGATTTCGTCGTCGTTGTCGCCGTGGTCGTCCTTCCTCCCTCGTCGTCTTCGTCGGCGTTTCGTCGTTATCCCTCCTATTTCGTCGCCGTGATCGTCGTCGTCGTCGTCTTCCCTCTTCCCTCGTCGTTGTCGTCGTCGCCGTCGTCGTCCTCCCTCCTCCCTCGTCGTCGTCGTCGTCGTCGTCGTCTTCGTTGGCGACGTCATCGTCGTCTTCGTCGTCGCCGTCGTCGTCGTCGTCGGCGTCGTCGGCGTCGTCGTCGTCGTCGGCGGCGTCGTCGTCGTCGGCGTTGTCATCGTCGTCGTCGTCGTCGTGGTCAGCGTCGGCGTCGTCGTCGTCGTCGTCGTCGGTGTTGTCGTCGTCGTCGTCGTCGAAGTCGTTGGAGACGCCACGCAGTCGGTGTCGTCGTAGTCGTTGTCGGCGGCGGCGTCGTCGTCGTTGTCGCTGTCGTCGTCGGCGTCGGCGTCGCTGCCAAATGCCATGTGGTACCCACCGTCACGGTCTCAAGGTCATGCGACCAAGGTGGGAGGGTGGGATGTTTGCACGAGCACTAGAGAGGACAGATTCAAGTTGAGCAAGTGATTGGCTGCACCACATAGCCCCTCCCAAAAGAATGATAGCGTCGACCCACCCCCCGAAATTAAAGATCCACCACCACTTCGTATTGTAATATACATATATACACACATATATGTATGTGTATAAATATAAACATATACATATATATATATATGTACTCGTACCATCCCAGCCAGGCTGGTACCGACACCTCCGCCATCCTCTGAAACAACATTTGCGCGCACTGTCGTTGATCAACGATCATCAGTCTTCGAATCCTTTGCAAAACTGAGACGAAATGCACACACGCGCGCGTCGCCGCGCGCGCATGCCGGAAGCCTTAAAAAAAACCTCCGGCGACGTAAGGATTTCAACACATAATCGCATGTCCCGAAAACATGTATAAAAAACACATGGTTTTGACACAAAAACTTGCGCCCGCGCTTTTGCGAATTCATTCAAAAATACATAAGTTTCCACATGTCTATACAGTGTTTCCAAATCGTGTGGGAACCGTTCGAACGCCCTTGCGCACGTGCTGTCGCAAGAATCCCTTGCAAAAAAAAAGGACGAACTGCACACGCGTACATCGTCGCGCGCATGCCAATCCTTGAAGAAAACCTTCGGCTGCCGCATGGAATTCTACACCAAAAAAACTATAGCACATTAGAAACACACGATTTTGCAACATCAATGTTCAAAGAAATCCTGCGCTCGCGCTCATGCGGATTATTCCAAAAAAAACATCGGTCTTCCAACATGTTCGTCAAATTCTAACAAGCGAACCTCTCGCGCCGTGCTAGGGGGGCACGTTCCGTGTCAAATGATGCCACGCGGGCCAATCGCGCGCGTCGGACGCGCGCGCATGTCGAACTCATTCAAGACGCTTCATCGTTGACGCGAAAACATCGTCATCGTCATCGGCGGGCATGATCAACATAGGCGCCGTTGTTGGCCTTGCCGTCGTCATCGCCACCTTCGCCACACACTCATACTCGTGTCTACCGTGACCGGCGTCACCACGACACCGCGCCCGCGTAAGTCGCCGACTCGCACGGAAGCGCCCCCTGGGGAGCCTGGGGATGCCCAAAGGTCAGCGCCATCGCGGCCGCGTCGGTCGCGTCAAACAAGCTGGCCTCTGCGCGCGCGAGCATGCGCAGGCTAGCGCGACCGCAGGGATGCACCAGCCAACACCAAGCACTCATCGCAATCGCCGCCGCATGGTTTTCCAAACCAAATTGCGGGTGGGTGCGTGGGATGTTTGTAGCAGCATGGGATTTATCAACTCGTGTGTAAAAACGGATTGCACCACATAGATAGCACAAGTTATATTGCACAACCACATAGATTGAACCAAATAAAAATGCACATCATAAAGCGCAGCACAGTAATCGCACAGCTTGTTTTGCAGCACATAGCTTGTTCCAACTAAATTGCACCACGTATATTGCACAGCATAAAATGCTCCAACTATCTTGCACCACCTACATTGATTGCACGGTACATATTGCAGAGCATAGCGTGTACCGCATGCTTTGCACAGCATAGACTGCACAATATTCATAAATAAATCTATACATATATATATAAATATATGTATATACATGTGTTGCACCACAGATGTTGCTCCAACTATATTGTACCAAAAAATACTACGTCAGCTGGATTGCACCACATAGGTTACACAACATAGATTCCACACCGTAGGTTGCATCACATATTTTGCAAATCATAATTTGCACCACGTAGATTGCGAAACCTGGATTGGTCCACATAGATTGCACCACATCGGCTGCATCATATAGATAGAAACACATAAATACCAAAGCACGCACTGTTTGGGGTCCACGCTCGCTAACGCATGCATCTATCTATATCTATATATATACACACACATGTTGCATACCGTGGCTTGCACCACACACAACTCGCAACACACAGCTTGCACCACATAGAGTGCGTTACAAAGCTGGCGGAACGTACCGTTCCCCACACTCTGCTGCGATATAAACAACATGTGTGCACACACACACGCATCAATACATAACTGTATGTGTGCACGGCCCCTACTGCAACAGATAGACAACACATCGAGGGTGCAAGAGCTTACTGTCTGGGGGCCGCGCCGGCTCACGTACATCACTCCCGAATAGGCCAAGAGCGAACCACTCAAGGAGACCTTGTCATTTAGAAAAACTCAAACCGATCAGACCAGCCTGCAAGACGCAAGAACGCTGCTGCAAAGAAAAACTGGTGGAGGATTTGCTCGTACACCAGCCTGTTTGCCCGAAGACAAAATTGTCGGGGCGGAAGAGCTGGCCGAACGGCCCTGCGCGGACGCTGTCCATGGTCCCCGGCTCCAAGTCCATCAGCACCGCGCGTGGGACGTATCGCCCTCCAGTGGCCTCATTGTAATAAACGTTGATGCGTTCCAGCTGAAGGTCGGAATCGCCGTGGTAGGTCCCTGTCGGGTCGATGCCGTGCTCGTCGGAGATCCGTCTCTGTGCTCTCGGCACGCTGGGGCTCGTTATCATGCATGTTGGCTGCCTACAGTCTTCAACAGGATTCCCAAAAAGTCCTCCACAATCAACACAACAATCATGCAGCGTAACGGCTGCGCCACGCTAGAACAACGTTGAACCGTTTCCCCGACGGCCCCCATTCGGTTTCACCGAGCCTTCGTTTCGGAGACCTCCGTAGGACCACCATGCATGCATGTCAATTTTTCGCTGGCACGGCGGCGGGGCTTGCCGCAGGCAGCTGGATGACCTCCCAGAACTTCGCGCCTCGGAAAAGAATAGAAAAAGGAGATGGATGGCCGCAGCAAGATGATAACCCAACGAACGGGACATCTTCAGCGAGGCAATGACACCCCGATGAAAAATGCACCGCCGTCCTCCTAGTCCCCATCCCCCTCCTAAGGCCGCCACCGTGCCGCTAGACACTCACCGCAGCACCCTCGGGCCACTTGGAGTCCCCGGCGCTGATTATTGAACATACTCTGCAAGCCAGGGGTGTGCAGCCCCAGCCCACGAGGTTTCCCGGTTGACTTGGGGAGCTTCTCGCGCGACTCATCCGAAAGGCGACCCAAGATGGTCCCAAGAGGGCCCCGCGCCGGTCTGGGAGGGCCTCGGGGGCGGCTGATGGTCGCTCATACACGGCCCAAGATGGCCTCAGGCCGGTTCCACAAGCCGCCAAGACGTGATCATCGAACTCTAAGGGGACCCCGAAAAAAAAACAGAATAGCCAAAATCCTTTCACGATTTCTTCAGCGATCTTAACGGCCTCCCCTTGTCGGGTTTCCAGCGCTCCAAGACAACCCAAGAAGCCCCCATAATCGCCCATGACGACCCAAGAGAACGTCAAGAGCAACCCATGACGGCCCAAGACGACCACAAGACGGACCAGGAAGCCCCCCAGACAGCCCGAGAGGCCACCATAAAGGCCCCAAGAGGAACCCAGGGGAAGGAAAGCGAAGGGGGCTTGGGACCCTTTCCCTCAAAGACTACAACAACTCCTCCTCCTCCTCCTCCTCCTCCTCCTCCTCCTCCTCCTCCTCCTCCTCCTCCTCCTCCTCCTCCTCCTCCTCCTCCTCCTCCTCCTCCTCCTCCTCCTCCTCCTCCTCCTCCTCCTTCTCCTCTCGTGCCATCGTGCCAAGTGTGCAGCACGGCTGGCCATCGTGCACTACGGCTGGCCACACTCCTGCTTGCGCAACTGCATCATAAGTTCTTTGCTTGGTCATGGGACTGGCACGTTCTCCCAATCCTGAGGATGGGCGCTAAAACCGATAAGAAAAACGATGCGAAGAACAGCAGGGTGAGACTGGTGGTGGACCGAAGCCCGTGTTTCGGAGTGGGCGATTGGCCCGCTGTACCTCGAGTGCGTCAGTGGCCAGGGTGCCGCCGGGATGGGGCGTCAAAGCAGGATGCTTCAGCACCTTCCTAACAAACTCAAAGCGGAAGATTATGAGATATGTGCTACACCCCCGATACGGCCCCTGTCGAAAGAGAACCACCTTCGCAGACGGGGAAAGCCTGAGAATAGTCGTCCTCCTCCTTCTCCTCCTCCTCCTCCTCATCATCATCATCATCTTCCTCCTCCTCCTCCTCCTCCTCCTCCTCTTCCTCCCCGGTGCTCGTTTTTTTGTTCTCTCTCTATATATATAGGTACCTCTCTATCTTCTCTCCTTATCTTGATGCACCTCCTGCTCATCTTCCTCATCCTCTCCCTTCTCGCAACCCTCCTGAAGTTTCTCCCGCTTCGTCCCTTCTCTCTCTGTTTCCTCATCCGCCCTCCGCCCTCCGACCTGCTCCCTGCCCGATCGTCCCTCCCTCGACCCTGCCTCCTCCATCTTCCCCTCGTCCTTCTCACCGCATCCTCCCCCGTGGGCCACCCGGCCCAGATTTCAATTCCGGGCGCCGATCTGGTTCCCGCACTGGCCGCCCTGGATGTGGACGAGCTCACGCATGGCTCTGGGCTTCCAAGACCTGCACCGATGGGAGGGAGATGCAGAGGGCAATCGCTGCTCGGGCCAGAGTGGCTGCGGATGGGCCAGGGCGGGCGTCTCCACTCCCCCGCTGGCTGCCACCATGAAACACGGCGATAAGGCGCTCGCCTAAACAATGGGTTTCCCGCATGGTCTCCTCCCCCTCCTCCGACACAAGTCCGTTCAAGACCGGCCCCTGGACCCCGCCTGACGTCCATCCTCTCCAAGGAAAAACCTGGATCGATGTTTAATCCCTGGGCCCGAAGCAGGCCCCTGCAGAGAGCGCCGAGCTCCTCCCTCGGACGCGCTGACCGGGAACAGCGCTAACCCCGATCAACCATAGCCATGTCCCAAACCTGGGCCAGCCACATAGTAAATTCCAAACCCTGGGTGGGAGGGGTCTTTTCGCAACGTGACCCCTTGCTCTCCGACATCGTGATCTTTTCGGGGCGTGGACCCCCTGAGGTCGAATGTCAGCTTGCGATGAAACAAATTCGTGGGGGGGGCGCGTGTTTTAAAAACGAAGACCATCACGCTTCGCGTATCCCCACCACCGGCCCGGACACCCTGTTCGCCGCCTGCGCTCTTCGCTCGCGGCCGCGACCAAAAAAAAATATCCCCACCACCTTGCCTCTTCTTGCTGCCTAGTCGCGGCCCGGCTAATGTTTGGACGGCTTTCGACCTGCTTCACGAGCCCGCAGACCAAAAAGTATCCCCACCAGCCTATTCAGAAGCCCTGCCCATGAGAGCTGACGGGAAAAGGGGCGAAGAGACAGATCTAAGGAAACAAAGCGAGCAACCAGGGTGCACCGAGAGATCTCTCGGAGCAACGGGGTGGCCTTTGAAGGCCTCTTCGGGCCATCCCTGGGGGCCGCCTGGGGGCGAAGGGAAAAGGAGGAGGAGGAGGAGGAGGAGCAGGAGGAGGAGGAGGACGAGGAGGACGAGGATTAGGCTGCTGCTGCTGCTGCTGCTGCTGCTGCGGGTGCTCTGTGGGAGATTTGGGGGCCCTCTCGGAACTTGGTAACCCTGGAAAGCTTCGTAGGATCATCTTGGAGGCCATCGACTACAGGATGGGACTCAGCTCCCCCCATCAGGAGCCGGCAACCCGTTTCTTTGGGCCCTCTTGGAGCGCTCTTGGAGCGGTCTTGGGGCCGTCTGGGGCATCTTGGGGGCCATTGTGAGCCAGCCTGGGATATCTGAACCATCTTGGAGGTCATCTTGGGCTCTCAGAGGCCGCTCGGGGGCCTCCTGGGGGCCTCTCGGCTGCCTTTGGGGGGCCCTCTTCGGGTCCTCTCGGGGGGCCCTCTCGGGGCCCTCTCGGGGCTCTCCTGGGCCTCTCCTGGATGCTTCGGCAAGCCTCTTGGAACCATCTTGTAGGCCATCGGTCCAAAGAAGGGCGTCCCGTATCTAACTCCCCCTCGAAGAACCATCAAAATCGCCTCTTGGGGCGTTCTTGGGCCCGTTTGGGGGCGATCTTGGGCGGTTTGGGGCCGTTTTGGGGGGTTTTTGGGCCCCTCTTGGAACTTGGGCCTTCTTGGGGCCATCTTGAGGCCTCAAAAGCGCATCAGTGTTTGAAGGGTTTCGGTTTCTCGGGATGGGTCCTGACGGGTCTCCAAAAGCACTTGGGTCCGTCCTGTGGCCCTCTTGGGGCCTCTTGCACGCACGTTGTTAGCTATATTGGGCGATCTTGGAGGCCATTTTGGAACATCGGAAACCCTTTTGGGGCCATCTTGGGCCATTTGGGGCGCTCCAACCCCTCGCGGAACCCCCCGTCCAGGTCTAGGGGAGGGGGTGAGGGGAGGGGCAAACCCCTCCCCGAAGGGGAAAAAAGGATTTTGGAAGAGGAAAAAAATACATCGTTTGACAACCTGCGCCCAAAGGTCTGGTGGGATTTCCCTGCTCGAGCGAATCGCGGGGGCGGCGCCCGCCAAACTGAAGCACCACAGCGGCGGCGCCGGTGATTAGCGCCGACGCCCGGCCGCCAGCGAGAAGGCGGCAGAATCAGCACAGACTGGGGGAGGGGGGGGGGCGGGAAGCAAGGGCGGCAAAAGCAGGAACCGTGAGCCAGGGCGACACCTGTGCAAGATGAAGAAGAACTGGTGTCGGCGCTCACCCCCGCATTTTCCGAAACCTTTTCTGTAGAACCTGTGCGCCTCCTTGGCCCCGGCCGCGCGCAGAGCGCGCTGGACGAAAGGGGGGCGTGGCCGAGCGAGGACTTGCCAAGCAGCTCGCATGCTGATTTTCCGAGCGCTTCCTGGCGCCGAAGGCGGCCAAGCATCGAGGACTGGCCCTTCGGCGGGGCGGCCGAAACCAGCTGCGCACAGCAGGTTTCGCAGCTTCCCTTTTCTTCCTCAGCCTTTCGTCCGACCCGAACAAGGCGGGCAATCCTCCTCCCCCCGTCTGTCGCGGTCTGTCTGTAGTCGTCGACGACGACGACGACGACGACGACGACGACGACGACGACGACGACGAGCAGGCCTGGTGCAGTCGACGACGACGACGACGACGACGACGACGAGGACGAGGACGATGATGAGGAAGACGGGGACGAGGACGAGGACGACGGACGGCGGACGGCGGACGGCGACGACGACGACGACGACCTACGCACTGCGAAGTCCCTCTGGGGAGGGGGGTACTGCGCAGGCCTGCTGTAGACGACGACGACGACGACGACGACGACGACGACGACGACGACGACGACGACGACGACGAACGACGACGGCGACGATGACGACGACGAACGACGACAACGACGGCGACGACGACGACGACGACGACGACGCCAGCGAGGGGGAAAAGAATTCGCCTCGGATGTATACGAGCCCATATAACAACTACTGTAAGACCAATACGTTTTGAGGCTGTCATGCAGGGGGGGTACAAAATCCCCTCGTCGGTGCTCGAGACGACCCCCTGGCGCGCGTGATTCCAAAAAAGTTTCGCGCCCCGCGGGGTCCACTCATCAGCGCCCGGGGGGGAGCCTCATTTGTTCATCACAAACTGACACTACGGTGCCAGTTTTGATGAGCGTGTTTTCCACCACCACCACCATAAGTTGGAGGGGGGGGTCCTCCTCCTCCTCCTCCTCCTCCTCCTCCTCCTCCTCCTCCTCCTCCTCCTTCTCCTCCTCCTCCTCCCCCTTCCCACCATCCAACTCATGGTGGTGGTGGTGGAAAACGCGCTCATCAAGTTTTTCTTCCTGAGCAATCTTTTGGAGGCGTTCAGAGGCGGGGCGTGTGCGAGAGGGGATCTCGCAACTCGTGGCCCGAGGCACGCGCCCGGCCGAAGGGGGGGCCAGGGGATACAGTGAAAAAAAAACAGGGCGAGATCTCACTGCCCTGGCCACGACATCCACCACCCCCCAATCATCCCCCCCCCTCGTGGACCTCCTCCTCCTCCTCCTCCTCCTCCTCCTCCTCCTCCTCCTCCTCCTCCTCCTCCACTCGTGGACACACCCGACATTCTTGACAGGCCCAGGGCCTGCGAAGTGCCCGCCAGAGGCCGAAGATCCTTCACGACGCGAGAAGCTCTAGGCCTGCTTCGTTCAGGGCTGAACGACTGCTGCTATCCTGCGACTCGCGCTGGAGCGCCCACAACCTGCTCCATGGTGAACGTTCTCTTCTTCGGCGTTTCGACATTGGGCAGAAGGGGTGGGGGTGTCTGGCTCCGGATCTCTGCTTAGTGCGACTGTCTGCAGCAGTGCGTCCCACGAGGGAGACTCCGCCTGCTCGCAACAGGCGCCAAAAACAGCCAAGATCGACTCCGTGGGGAGGGAGGGGGGGGTGCGAGGGCCCGCGACGATCGGCAAAACAATGGATAAGAAAACGATCACATGTTTCCTTGAGAGACCTCCGGTTCTCGGGTCGGGCGAAAGGGGGGGATAGCAAAGGGGGGGTTGAGAATCAGCTCACGTAGCTGATTTTCCCGGCGCCTCCCGGCGCCGGGAGGCGCCCATGCATCGAGGAACGGGCCCCTCGGTCGGGCCCAAACCAGCTGCATGCAGCAGACTTCGTAACCCCCCCTTTCCCAATCCCCCCCTTTCGTCCAGCCAGAGAGAGGAGCTTCGTGTGCAGGCACCCACAGCTTCCCCGCTCTCCGGGGTGCTGGAGCGTCTACGTGCACCGACCTCCTCTGCCAGAGCGGGTGCCTGCGTGGCTGGCCACAGTCGGCGCGGTGTGTACACTGGGCCCCCCCCACCCCCCCGAAGAACCCCCTTTCGTCCTTCCCGAGATTCCACCTCGCTGCATCTGGACCCACCTCGGTTTGCCCGGAAGGGCCTCCACCCATCTGGGCGAACCCCCATGCTCGGCGGCGCGCCCGCCCGGGCGGGAAGTGCGAGGGGACGGCGGGGCCTCTCCGAAGCCCTCTGGCCCTCTGAGAGAAGCCGCCCACATCTGTGGAGGGGGCTCAGAGAACTCCTCGGGAGCCCGAGGCCCTCCGAGCCTTCTGAGGAGGCCCACCCCCTCTGACTGCCCCTCCCTGGGCTCGCCGCCGACGCGCCCTGCGGCGTCCTGATTTTTCCATTTTGGAGGGGCCTTGGGACACACAAATAAATGCACACAAATAAAAGGAGTCCCCATATTTTCCCATATTTTCTGGGTTTCTGTCTTGCCCCCCACTTCCCATATTTTCCCATATTTTCTGGGGAATCGACGAGTAATTGTCTGTGTGCTTTTTCCCCTCCTGACATTTGCTAATACAGGGCCCCCGGAAATCCCGAACCTGACCCTTCCCCAGGGCCGGGGTTTCCTCGTGGGCCGTCTCTTGGCAGTCCTGGAGTCCAGCGAGCCTCCCGTCGCGATTGTGTGAACGTTTTTTCTTTTCCGCGTTTCGATTGGGCGGAAGGGGGGGGGAAGGGGGTCTGACTCCGGACCTCTGCTTCATGCGACTGCTTGCGACCGTGCGTCCTACCGGGGGGGACTCCACCTGCTTGAAACGAAAGAGGCGCCAAAGAACAGTCGAGATCTACTCCAGGGGAGGGGAGAGGGGCGCGAGGGCACGTGCCGATCGGCGGCAAAACAACGAATCAGAAAACGATCACATGTTTTCGGCG